ATACAATCGCTTTACTCCCAAAACAACTTCTTTTGATTTCTCCTTTTATATTAAATTAATTCAATTGTTGTGTCGTTTTTCTCCGTCTAATAGTCGTATATAACTGTAAGAGTAAGTTATATATCATTTATATAACCGAGCATTCGTCACGAATGAGTTCACATTTTGCTAGTTTTAGATTCTGTATGTCTTTGGCTTAAGAATTAAATTTCAAATAATTTATAATTTCGCAAATTCTAGAAACATATAATACAATACCATTCTTTGAACTCTTTTTCTAAATAATTGAAGCTAAAGTTGAGAAATAATTGCAATTTTCGTAATCGAAACACTAGTTTTGGTGAACGAATGACAAATGTGTAAAATGGGAGAAATTTTCAAATCAACATTTTCTTTAAATAGTTTCTCATAAAGTGTTTTTCAATTATTTTCACTCTAACTGTCTATAAAAATAAACGAATTCCTGAATCCTTATATAGACTGAAATTTTTGACGAAAACTATTTGATATAATATTCGTATTGTATATAATATACTGAATACTTGACTCAAAAAAACTACATTAATATTAAATTATACTAAATATAAAGAAAATGTCTTTAAAGTAGAGCTTCACTTGAGTTGGACTCGAAGTGAATGAGTTTTCTTTATATGATTTTTGAGAGCAAAAAAATGAATGAAAAATAGAGTCATTTATTTGTTGAGTTAAAAATGTTTAACTAAAAACTTGTGCAAAGTCTTCAATTGAAGTCTTGGCTCAATGTTTGCTGAAGTGATGCCTTATTTTCAACTTACGATTCAATGAATACATTGAAAGGAATTCTAATTTTTCTGGTTTTTTCAAAATGAAGATCAATTGAGGCGGACATAAGAGCCGTTGCAGTCGTCGTCAATCTTAGCGACAAATCTCTGGAGTTTTAATTATATTTGTTTAATACTTATGCGATCATCAAATCATCACATTCTGTGCTCAAACGCCTCCCGTCTATTGCACACCAAATGCTATACGCAATTGAAGTGCTATTTAATCCCAAATATATGAGATTTAATTCTTTAATAAATTTCAGTTAAACTAATTTTCTTTGATTTCTTAAGTGTTATCCAATGCCCTCAATAATAATGCATTTCGTGTGAGTAGATAGACATATGGCACCGACTTTTGCCCTTATATTCACTGCAATCTCCAAATTGAATCCAATACTCAACCCAAGGGTTCAATTCTTTTCAATTAACAGAATATAAGTTAGAAATAAGGGCTCACTTAAGACTGCCATCACTCGTATCATTGCATTGAAAGGCTTTTTTAGGCGCATCGCAATTGACACTCATTTATATATCAATACATTTCAAACTGTTTGACAGTAGATACCAATCCCTGTTTCAAATGCCTGAACAGCCGTATATATTGAAACAATTTTATAAATCGGATCTCTTGAGCAAAAAAGAGTGCAATCGATAAAATTTTCTTGAGATGTAAACCAAACTTTAATAATAAAAGCCAACAAAACTGTCAGAAAAATAACAGAATTTGTTTTGATGTCAAAAATTTCAGAATCCATTCTCTTATGCTGTTTAAAGAATTGCATAAATAAGTGAATACTATTTGCAAATAAATATATTCTGTTTTTATCTCTGAATAACATAAGCAATGAAAGCAGAAAATGTTTGAACAGTTTATTGATTGATATGTTTTTTAATGATTCTTCAGATGCCATACGGAGTACTATTTGGCGGTGACTTGTGTTCAATACATCACAGATGAGAGTCTATAACCTAAATAAGTTGCGACTCGTCTTCTTCGGCGCAGTCCTATCCCTATCACTGATTACCCTAACGTTTATGCGAATAAACCTTCAGAATGTGGACCACGAAGATGACCACAAATTCATTAAAGTTCCCTTAGCTTTGTCTCTGTTGTGGACCAAACCCAATGTCTTGAGAGGCGATTACGGCGACTATAATCGCAATGATATTATAGGAGACAACGAGTTGGTTGAGTACGAGGACTACGACCAGTACTACTCGGATGACGGCCCTCACAATCGCGCCTTCAAAGAGGGCGACTTCGACTCCAACTCAAGTCTTCCACTGAGGTTTCAGTCACCACTTAAAGTCAATATAACTCGAAGTCCAGTACCAAAGAAAGTGATAACCGAAGACCAACTCTATTGGTCGCAATGGATGGAAAACCTATTCCCGAAAGGGCTCACAGATAGCAATGTATCCCGTTTTCTAGAGAGAGTCAAAGTATCGCAAGTGATGAGAGTGGAGGCGCCCACTTGGAACCGGTGCGGACGCGCCAACAACCAGTTCGCCGTGTTTTCGGACGGCACTCAAGTATGCGCCAGATATCGGTCTCCGCACCAGTACTTAGTGTTGGGAGAAGTCATGTCTTTCTATTTGTCGCGACTGTTGGGCATAACTAACGTTCCGTCGGTAACTCTGGTCAACACCAGTGATCGCATGTGGAGTAATGTGTGGAACGACAGTCTGTCCAAAGAGTGGCAAATCAATACAACCGTAGCTTTAATTGAATGGATAGATGACTTGGAAAGGGATCGCATGCCTAGTCTTATACTCGATTCCCTCATTACTAACACCACATTACACGCTAATGACAGTCGTCTGAGAAACCTGACGTCCCCTCAATTGGTGGAACTGATGCAATGGAGTGATCTCTTGGTGTTTGATTACCTAACTGGCAATTATGACCGGGTGGCCAGTATGCAGGACGCGGCCCTCAAACAAAACAACACAACTATTTTGAAAGTAAGCACTAATTACACAAACATTTGATTTATCGATTCGTTTCTATAGTATGGCTTTCAATGCTTTTCATGCGATATGTGATTAGTTGTGATAATTGATGTCTGTGTAATAATACAACTATTTTGAAAGTAAGCACTAATTACACAAACATTTGATTTATCGATTCGTTTCTATAGTATGGCTTTCAATGCTTTTCATGCGATATGTGATTAGTTGTGATAATTGATGTCTGTGTCTGTGTTTGTCATAATAGGAAACAATCCATAACTTAGTGAAGTCGACACAAACCAACTCTATTTGGATGATTGACAACGAAAGTGGTTTTCTGGACGCGTATTGGCTTATGTATAGCCAGAAGAATGGAAACGAATCGCAATTCTTCCAAACTTTCCACAACTCTGTGCTCAACACTAACTGTATATTCAGGCGATCAACGATTGAACACTTGAGGCAATTGAGGACACATCCAAACCCTCACAAACTTCTCATCGATTTCATCGCACAATACGAGCCAACATTTAAGCGACAATTAATTCAAATAAAAGCCGATTATTTGCGTTATTTTACACAACATTTTCAGCAACGAATCGTGAGGGTGTTCACACACTTCGAGAATTGTAAAGTCATTACTAATTACACATAAAGAGCATTCATACTATACAGTACTATACTTTCATTTATTCATGTTATTTTACACAACATTTTCAGCAACGAATCGTGAGGGTGTTCACACACTTCGAGAATTGTAAAGTCATTACTAATTACACATAAAGAGCATTCATACTATACAGTACTATACTTAATTTATTCATTAAATACATGATTTGTATACAACAAACAAATTAGTTATTGATATATAATTATTTAGTCATTTGATTATTGTATTTGTAATTATCATTATTATAGAGATTGTGTACATTTCTTTCGTTACGATATTTCAGATTTTTATGTAATATATCTTTACTATTGAATATTAATAAAAAAAACAATTTATTTGAAATTCAATTAATTCTTGTATACAAATATACAATAAGTTATACCAAAATATTATTTTGATAACAAATTTTCGTACAATATATGTCAGAAAATTCAATTAAATTCCTAATGGATTTCAAATGTTAAACATAATTCATTTGTAAAATATAATTATATTTGATTTATAAATCATTAGTTGAGATCATTAGCGAAAGTAGAGTTCAAAACTCGCTATATTTGTGCGAAAATACTTGAGACCATTGTCTGCGGCAGAGGAGAGGGCACACGAAATGGTCTTTAATTGATTTGTTCATTATTTTAATGGTTTGTCCACTACTTTATTCCCCATCGAGTAAGTGGTAATCAATAAAACATTGAATGCCAACCACTTTTGAGTTGACAATCATTTAAAGGGCATGTGATCTAACATATCGCCGATTGTTTGGTTTTGACATTTTCTCGATATTGAAGTGTATTTCGATTATTTTGTCATTTGTTATAGAAATATATAATCAATTTTTCATTGAAATATATGATTATACTCTGTAGTACTCTAAAACTCAAAACATTATAAAGTATTCCCATTTGTTTCATACATTATGAATGATTAGGTAATGTGAACTAATTTAATCAATGATTTATACAGTTAAATTAATTATGTAAAAACAAATTAATTAAATTGCAGATTAGCTTTAATGATTAATTAGATAAAACAATAAACATTTGTATAATCTTATCATTTGCTTAAATTACAGTTAAATGAAATGAGAATTTATTCATTAGGTGTTCATTTATAAATGGTATGAAAATTAATTTACACTAACGTTAACAAAAAATTTAACACAAAAAACAGTTCATAAGATTTTTATAAAACAACTCAGAGCTTGAATACGACAAGAATTTGTTCAAAAAATCTCATAAAATGTTTCAATAAGTAATTACATTGAAATTACAAAAATCACTAAAAAACTTCAAATCTGTTTGAATTGATATTGAGATGAAACAAATCACTTAATTGTTTGCGATAAAAAACATCTAAAAACCCAATTGTGAAACATTATAACTAATATCAGAAATACTTATTCGTTAGGGAATGATAGAGTGGTGGGACAGGGATCCATCACTTCTCACAATTGAAAACAAAAACTTCATATAAATTAGTCTAAAACAAGGAATTAATTGCAGTATTAAAACAAATTCATAATTAAATAAACGATAAATAATTATTTGTCTAAAACATGAAAACTGGGCTCAACTTTAAGGGCAGATCATTGGCGGCGAAGGAGTTCCGAATTTGGTGTAAATATTAGACACTTTTCGCTTAAAATGAGGTGAAATGTTGTCTAACTTTGAGTCAATGGTTAAGTAATCCTCGAATGCCTGTTCAAGTGATGTCTGGGTCTGTGTCTCACTTCGCGCGGACACAACACAATCAGCGAAGAGAGACCTGAGATGGAAGTAATTGGGCTGCTCTTCAAACCCCAGTCGCAGACAATACTCCATATACTGCCTGAAGGCAGAGGGGAGACCACCGCAGAGCTCGTCCAGAGAGCAGAGTGTCTTCATATCGCCCACAACTCGCAAGTAATCGCTTCTCATCGGAAACTTTCGCGAAGACAAGTGAGACCACGGAAGGCATCCCTTCGCCAACCACACCAACGAATAGCCAACAGATATCAAGTCGTCTCTTCGGGACTGTTGTTCCCCCGCGTGTGCGTTGTTCGACAGGAACTGGACGTTACCGACAGAATGGGCGGCATTCCTCTTGCAGTACGGGATGTGTCCCGTCAATGGGTTTGTGTACTCTTTGGCCAAATTAAAGTCAATTAAATACAAGTACTTCTCATCGATGGCGTCCACCACGAAGTTCTCGGGTTTGATGTCTCTGTGAATGATTTGTCTGATGTGACAGTTGGCCACTCGTGACACCATTTGCGAGGCATATCTCAGCGCAAACATCACTCGCCAGTTGTGGTCGTTGTCCGGCGCCTCCTTCCCCTCGAGTCGGTACAAGTCGTACAGATTTGGTCCCAAAGGCTTCATCACGAGGTAGCGGAAGGACAGGTCGCACAAGTAGTCGATCACTACATCAAAACAAGGAGTTGTCGACAGCTTTGTGTAGAACTTGTGTTCTGAGAGAAGACGGTTCGTGTCTTCACTTCTCTCCACTTTGACGACCAGTTCTCGGTTGCCATCACTCGTGTCCACACAAGTGAACACTTCCTTGTAGTGACCCAACTGTCCGCACACTTCATATCTGGAGCCGATCTTTGTTCCCGTCTGTCGGACAAGACATTCAATCACTCGATGGACACATCCGTCAGACTAT